CCCCCCCCCCCCCAAGAAAAAAAGAGAGACAGAAGAGTAAAGACAAAAATCGAAGCATGTGAAGGAGATTTTCAAAAAGTCCCTTAAAACTCATCTGTTTAGGTCCGCCTATGACCTGTGATGCACCCTCCCCTTAAAATTCATCTGTTTAGGTCCGCCTATGACCTGTGATGCACCCTCCTTGCCCTACCTCATTTTCTGTTTCGGGTTGATACTGAAGTGTCAAAGTGTCCCCGTTTTATAGCCATTTTCATTGTTTCTATAGTATAGTAGTTACTATCCTAGTGTGCCATTTTTATTTGCTTAGTTTACATGTTTTAATAATTGTAAAGCGCTTAGAGCTTTATGGTAAGCGCTATATAAAAATGCCTAAATAAATAAATTTCCGTTCAGTAGAAATATAACACAGGCCTACTCTGAGTTTGTTGGCGTCTTTACCGTCTCAAATGACATCATAGAATGTTGGATAAATATATATAGATATAAATGGACCTGGCTAAGCTAATCTGAATTGTGTAGCTGGAACAGGCTCACTGGCGTAGGAAGTAGGGGCGGTAGTATGGGAAAATGGGGGGGGGGGAGGTTGAGGGGTGGTCCATTCCGTCTGCCAATGTACCAGCCGGGGTTGTAAGAAAGTAATCTCAAAACCTCCACAGAATATATCTGTTAGTTATAGCTAATCTGAATTGTGTAGCTGGAACAGGCTCACTGGCGTAGGAAGTAGGGGCGGTAGTATGGGAAAATGGGGGGGGGGAGGTTGAGGGGTGGTCCATTCCGTCTGCCAATGTACCAGCCGGGGTTGTAAGAAAGTAATCTCAAAACCTCCACAGAATATATCTGTTAGTTAACACAAAGTTGGTTAATTTCCCTGGCCATGTTTTCCACGTATTATCTGAATGAATGGCCGCATTTACTCTCGTAATGTCAGTTGCTTGTCAGCTGATATTGTTTTCAACCTTCATTTCCAATCGAGTTTCTGATTGATTAGATGTGGGATACATTAATACCAAGAACAACACCAGCTTAGCCGTTTTTTCTGAGACGAAATTTGAATAATCGATCCGCCATCTGTCACAAGGACAACATATGTGTTGGTGGATAACTTATTTATGGTGGAAAAAAGTGTGTGTGTGGGCCACTATTGTGTGAGGGGGAAAATATGTTTGAGTGGACAGCATATGTGCTGGTGTGGACGACGTATTTGAGTGTTGACAGCGTATATGTCTAGATGGCTTATGTGTGTGTGGAAAAATTATGTTTCTGGACACCGTATGTGTCTGTGGATAACTTATGTTTGACCGGACAACTTATGTGTGCAGACAACTGATGTTTAATTGGATAAAATATATGCGTGCGCAGCTTTGGTTTGAATAGACATGTGATGAGTGTGGACAGCTTATCTGTGCGGACAACAGTTGTTGGTATAATCCAATGTGTCTAAAAACTTATGTGCGCCTAGACAATTCTTATTTTTGGTAAGATCTTTAAGGCGAAATTAACGTTTGAGTTCACAACATGTGTTTGCAAAATAAATGTGTATCGGGACACTGAGTGTGTTGTTATGAACCGTTATATAGTTATGAAATTTGAATCTGTGTTCAGATTTGTACTGTATAATAAACGATAAGCAATAGTGGTTGGACTAATATAAAAAGCAAAAAAACAACAACAAAAAAAAAACAATATCACAGCTGGTGGTAATAAAATATTAAGTTTAATTTTAACATTTAAATCTTATAATAATACAAACTCAAATATAAAGAAATTTATTTTAAAAAACTAAAACAGCTCACAGCACAGCAAGTCAAAATCTGCAATTATGTATTTTCATACACATAAAGTGTTTAATATTGCACTTTAATATTGCACGTAAATAACATCTCGCGTATGTTGAGAAATTATGAAAATCTCTTACCCTGGCTAGAAAAGCTTCCGGCCTATAAATTTGGGGATTAAGACAGAACCATGAAGTAAATATATTCTATAAAATGCTTTTCTGCTAGCATTCGTAGGAAAAGATAGAACGCATTTGAAAGTAATCAACATTTTCCCAATCAAGGGAGGGGTGGGTAAGGAGTGACGCAGCACATTTACTCGTTGACGTCAATATTAAACCAAAAGAAAGGGTAGACACGTTTTGGTAGCTAAAAAATAGGCCTACACATATGCCATAACAGTGTGTATCTGGAAAATGTATTTGGACTTTATTACAGGAACTTTCTGGTCAATCATACGATTATGAATGAGAAGTTCTCCGTCCAGGACAGTTCTCTTCAATCCTTTGTCTGAGTGTCAGGTCCCTGCAGGTCAATTGTGCACATATCAATTGTCCTCTTAGGTGCCTTCTAACAAATTCTCTTCCTGCACACTACTGCGTCATTGACCTCTTCTTGTGCAATACACGTGATGACAGTACTGCGTCATTATCATATTATTCTGCTAGACACATGACGTCAGAACTTGTACTAGACAAATTGCGTCAGTGCTGCGTCATTGCCTTCCTCATGTGTTGGCAGTTCCCGTCAGTGCAGCGCTTTTGTTCTATTCTCATGCTAGACAGATGCTGTCAGAAGCGCACCATTGCCCTATTCTTGTGCTAGACAGATGCCGTCAGAAGCGCACCATTGCCCTATTCTTGTGCTAGACCTTTGCTGCACACTTATTTACTTACAACACTTGTGTGCGAACAGCTTGAACAGATGCATTCAGGCATGAAAACACTGTTGAATCGTAAGGGACTAGGACCCCCAGTGATCTGTCTGCGTAGTTGAAAGATGCCTGGTCCCATTAGCATTTTTTTTTCAATTGGCCTTGGCTAGAGAGATCTGAACACTAACTGTGTCTATCAGGATTCATAGGCACCATTTAACATTATCTTAGCAGCTGGTACTCGCTTGTCTCATACCGTCCGAGCGGCACGAGGTATATTCCAGCGGCACCCAGCACGCCACCACCGACGCAGCTGAGTACATACGAGTACCCCATGGATCCAGTGTGAGAACCATGCAAATCCTTGATTGTTCTTGAGCTCCAAACGCATGCGTTGATGACGATCGAAAGAACTAAAAGGGCAAAAGAAAAGACACGTTTTAATTCATTGTTTACACAAATGTTTACCATTACACGTGTTGTTTTCAAACTTATCATTGACATTCTAAGGCACATCTTTAACATTGTGAACATAGAATTGTTTTTACATTCACAAGAATATAAAAATTTCAATATGTATGATACAAACAGTTCGATATATATATATTATAAATTTAAGTAAATCAATATAAACACCCAGGTTACTTAATATATGAAATAAATGAACTATTGACAGAAAAAAATGAAGAATATCGATCGGAATCGGAGCAGACTTCAGTAATCAGATAAAACTCAAAAGTAAAAACATTAGAAGAAAAACAAAGAAAACTATTTATAAAACTGTAATCAGACCTTTTGTAACATACGAAAAACAAAATGGGACACTAACAAAAATAACAGAAAACCTATTAAACACATGGGAGAAAAAAAGGTATACGGAAAATATACGGACAAAGAAAAGACGAATATCGTTGGAGAATACGAACCAACCAGAAATTGTACAGTCTATATCAGGATCCCACGCTAGTAGCTGAAATAGCTGGCTACGTTGGGTGGGACATTGAGAAAGAATGACAGTGGAGTTCAGAGGTTGCACCATGAAAACCCCTGAGGAAAAGTGCTCGTAGGCTGACCTAGGCTTAGACAGATGAATGATGAGGAAAAAGATCAGTTAGGTCTGAGTGGAAGGATGTAGTGATGCAGGCCAAAGCCCTACAATAGGCTGTAGCGCCACAGGGATGGATGGAGATATAATAATCTATATATATTTCTCGAGTTTATTTTTTTATAACTTTATGAAATCATGTTACTTGCAGAAAAAAACAACACTATTCATTGGGTCTAAGGTCGTGGGCGCAAATTTCAAAGTTTGCGCCAAATTTTATCTAGATAAGAACTTGATGGTGAACTGAAATATAAAATCCCATGTACTAAACCAAGACAAGGAGCGCCAAAATCGCCATTTTTCTATTTATTGAAAAGCGACATTTTCAGTCTTTGCTCCCCCTTGCCCAGGTCGGTACCCTACCCCTTCATTTGTCCACAAGGCGCCACTTTTCCTCAGCATGGCCCTAATCCTATCACTAAATGTAATGATGGCCCTAATCCTATCACTAAATGTAATGATGGCCCTAATCCTATCACTAAATGTAATGTACAGCGTGTCTTCAAAGACTTCGAAGCTGTCTCGGAGATAAGAGAAGACACGAGACAGCATATCGAAAAAGCCACTGAAGGAAATCAAAGGAAATACTCTACACACTATGAACACTCAGAACTCACAAGCCAAAGTGCTGAAACATGACGCTCCCACGAGGACACCTTTCCATGACCCACAGCCACATCTGAGAAGGGCGAGGTAGAACAAGGTCAGAAGTAAGGCCAGGCACCCAGACACCGACCCTAGGATGGCCAGAACTTGGCAGGAGAGCAGGCTGGCTGAGGATGAAAAAGAAAAAGTCATATTCTAGGGATGTGTGCTATGGATACGTTCTGTGGATATGTTACTTTTATCACCACTAGTTTCACCACTAGTTTCACCACTAGTTTCACCAATAGATTATGAAACCCCGTATACCCCAACTTTATTTAAAAAAAAAACAACAGGTTAATACATTATTTTTTGTCATTTAAAATAAAATGAATCAATGTAAATGTCTTCGTCCATTCAAAATCAATAAATCAGTAATTTGTTTAAAATCGGATAAGTTGAGTAACCAGAAGCTCCCAGCAGATTCACACTATTACCCAGGAGTTGTGTTGAGCACTGCACACCGCCGTAAAAATTGTGACCATCTACTTTTAAAAATTAATTTGACACTATGGATAAGTCTTCAGTTTGAGCAAATTTCAATTAAAACACTTCTATTTGAAGTCGTCCTTAACTTAATTTTGGGGGCAGGGATGGCGGTGGCTGGGAGGATATATATATATATATATATATATATATATATATATATATATATATATATATATATATATTATATATATATACTAGCTAACGACCCGCCAAAATTGAGATTAAAAGAATATATTTGTTTACTTTATATACATTTAGTTTCTTTAAAAAATTAGTTTTGGTACGACACTCATCGCATAAAATAAGTAGTACAAGTGATTTAGAGAGAATAGAGAGAAGAACAGCGACTGATCATGGGGGCCAATCAACGATACGGACTTGATCAGTTGGCCAATAGGTTAAGACTCCCGAAACTTGAGCCTTTTGGTTACAGTTGTTGGGATGAAAGGTTTCGTTTTAAGTAACAAGGTTTGTTTCTGAATCCAATCCAATGAACAACCCCCCCCCCCACCTACCTACCCCAAGCTTATTCCGTATTAATACCACTGCGATCACCATACTACCCATTCATATTGCGAACTGATAACTTCACTGCTATGACAACATAAACTTGCAGGGAGGAAACTGTGCACTGTTACAATGCAGTGGGGTAATACACGAAGGGCGTCTTTCAAGCTGTGTGAAGGGGGGAAAAAATGAAGAAAAAAGTACGTGGTAGCTTGAGATAGAAAGGCAGGACAATGAGATGAGAACTTTTTTGGCTAAGAGCCTTCCTTAACAGACGGGACAATAAGATGTCTTACTTACCTGGTTTCCTGTCGGTCAGCATGACCGTGCACACGCCAAAGCTGCACCACTCGAACAGTCCGATGTGGACATCCTCCGAGATGACCGTCCACCGCGGTGTGAGCAGACCGGCGAGGTGAAGACCGGCACCGGTGGCTAGAGCTGCCGAACCGATGAAGTAAGCCGGTCTGATCTCCCAGGTGTAGTCCATGGCTATAAAATAATGGGGTGAAAATCAATGACTAATATGTATATATGTATATATAAAACTGAACAGAAATAACATTGTATCAACGCGTTATTGGATTACATACAACTGCCTGACCTCACATTTTAAACTATTGTTTCATAGAAAAGCATCGATTCATCTCGGTTACATCTTTTACTTAGCCAGCGAGCCCTAGGAACAAACACACAAAATGCATTTCAGCTGTTCCTCGCTCACGCCTACCGAAATAATCATTCGGTGAAACAACCATTTCGATTGCGATGGCTGCTAATACTCACGTTCGGCCATAGACAAACTAAATTTGTTCATATTAGTTTCATAACCCGAACAGATCAGTAGTAAACTCTTCACCAAATAACTTACTGACACAAAACTTGCCTTTTATGTCTTGAATTTGAACTGAAATACGCGAAACCGATCGAGAAATCCCCTGGAAATTCGGTACCTAATTTTAAAAATCAGGTTCGTACATGCCTTACGCTGCGCTTCATTTCTTCGTTCGTTCACCACAAGTGCGCGCTTGTTCACGTCGCATCGAAGCATGAGGTTTTCATTACTTTTTTTTTTCTAAAGTTGTCGTTTATTTCTGGAACCTACTCTAGCAGCGTTAATTTCTTGAAGGGGTTAAGATGGGTGGCGTAAGATTATGATAGCATTAAGGGGTTAAGATGGGTGGCATAAGATTATGATATCATTAAGGGGTTAAGATGGGTGGCGTAAGATTATGATATCATTAAGGGGTTAAGATGGGTGGCGTAAGATTATGATAGCATTAAGGGGTTAAGATGGGTGGCGTAAGATTATGATAGCATTAAGGGGTTAAGATGGGTAGCGTAAGATTATGATAGCATTAAGGGGTTAAGATGGGTGGCGTAAGATTATGATATCATTAAGGGGTTGGGAAATATTTTGTAAGAAACAGTTTGCGACACAGACAGTTTACGTCGCTAACCACTCTGTTACCGCAATGTGTGTGTTGTTTGTTTTTTTTTAAATCATGACCGAAGCAATGTGTTTTGTCAGCGTCTTGTCGGAGGAATTGGCTACCAGAGCCTCATCGTATCCAGACTGAGGCTAGTGAGAGAACCTTGGGTATCGTGTGTACATTTCGTCAGCGGCATATTGAAAGCAAGACGATCGAAATGACGGCAACGCACGTACACATAGATTTATTTTGTTCTCTTGTTCGTAACAGATTCCTCGTGAACTTTAGGCTACATAAACATGAACGTCTCGATGTAGATGATTTTTTTTTTTAAAAGCATGATTAATCACGTTATAATCTCACTTAGTTTTATAATTATTCTGAGGTTCGTCCACAGCTTTGTTGGTTTGCTCATGTCTACTTTTTTCCATGAAGTATTTGTGTTTTCTTTCGCATTGTCGAGCATCGTCATTGTTCTTTCTGAACCTGCGAGTTGCACCATCCCTGAAATTAGCAACCAACTTTGCTTCGGTTCAAAGTTCTCTGCTTTTCACACCAGCAACTTACAGTACTTCATAGATACAACTAGCAACTTACAGTACTTCATAGATACAACTAGCAACTTACAGTACTTCATAAATACAACTAGCAACTTACAGTACTTCATAGATACAACTAGCAACTTACAGTACTTCATAGATACAACTAGCAACTTACAGTACTTTATAGATACAACGAGCAACTTACAGTACTTCATAGATACAACTAGCAACTTACAGTACTAAATAGATACGTAGCCAACAGATACGCAGTGAATAGATGCACAGCTAAAGCTGATGCGATTACAAATATTCCGTGGGGATGTTGCGAATCTTTTGAAATTCCGATAAAACGCAAAGGACGTCGAAAAGATAAGTCATTAACAAAAAGGCCGCTACCGTCTTAAAACCAACAAGCACACAATAAATCAAATAAAATAAAACAACAACTCATATTTGAAGTTAAACGCCTAATTTTAGTACGTTAATAATTACAATTATTAGATTTCATAATGAACACCCCATAGGTATTACCTTTTCTTTAAAAGCACATATCAATAAGTCAGACATAGCCAATATCTGCAAACGACATGCTAGACGCCTAAACACGAATTGGCAGTCATTAAATGGGTCATTGTAGTAAATGACGCATCCTATTTTTTTACTACAGTGGTTCTTAATTTTTTTTTAACAGCGACGTGACAACACCCACCTCCCCCCTCCCTCCACCCCCACCCCCTGGTGAGAACCCCTGTTTTTAAATGTTCATTATTTCACAGTTCCTTTATCTTATCTCTCACTTGTTTGAAGAATTGTTTTTTCACTTACAAGTTAAAAATTCATTCATTTAATCATCTTTTTAAAAAAAACAACAAATATTAAATTGGAAAACCTTTCATTTTTTTTTGCATTAAGAAGAATACGACTCTTAAATAAAACAAAAAATCTATATTATAATTTGGTATAACCTTAGTTTATATTTTCTGCCTTCAACATTTTTGAGTCATTTTTAAAATGTTTAAAAAAGAAATCTTCTTTGGTAATTAAATTGCAATAATTTTACCGAAATTTAATACTTATCATGAAATTTCTAAATTTCTTAAATTAAAAAAAAAAAAATGATTAAACACGTGTTGACGCTTTATGATCAACCATCTTGCAGATATCTCCTTACATCTATAAATAGAAGTCGACAACCCTTGTGGAGAATTAGAAGCATACAAATACCTTTTCAACAAAATATTTTTGGGGTCTTTGCGGACAACCTTATGTCCTCTGTTTGGACAACATTTCGGGAACCTCCGCGGAACGTCTACCCCGTTGACGTCTGTTTACGGATCACTGACTCAGCGTGGAAAATGCGTGCTTTGACCTGCGGAATACACTGGGGCTGAAAAGTATGTCACCCTCGCTCGTGTCTTTACTGTGTTAAACAATTTATCCAGTTGATTTCAGTATGCCTGCTGGCTCATCTTTATATAGTCAAACTATTCCATGTTTGTTTATGTGTGTGTATATATATATATATANTTGATTTCCAATCCTAAAGTAATTAGAAGTATTTTTCAAAATCAATTATAATAGAAAGAAACGGACCATTGAGTAAACTTAATTTATTTCAAAAAAAAAAAATAAAAAATAAAAAAAAAATTAAAAAAATAAAACAAAATTTAATGTTAATATTTGTACAGCAGTGCGTCTAGTATTGTTGGCTCAGCCGTGCGTCTAGTATTGTTGGCACAGCAGTGCGTCTAGTATTTTTGGCTCAGCCGTGCGTACAGTATTGTTGGCTCAGTCGTGCGTCTAGTATTGTTGGCACACCAGTGCGACTAGTATTGTTGGCTCAGCCGTGCGTCTAGTATCATTGGCACAGCAGTGCGTCTAGTATCATTGGCACCGCAGTGCGTTTAGTATTGTTGGCACAGCAGTTTGTCCAGTATCATTGGCGCAGCCGTGCGTCTAGTATCATTGGCGCAGCCGTGCGTCTAGTATTATTGGCACAGCCGTGCGTCTAGTATTATTGGCACAGCAGTGCGTCTAGTATTATTGGCACAGCCGTGCGTCTAGTATTATTGGCACAGCAGTGCGTCTTGTATTATTTACGACTGTTTTGTCCCTTTTTAAACATTAGGTACATAGAAATTTACAAAGAACCAAAAAAAAAAAAAAAGAGTGTGGACTGGAGGGAGTAAGATTGATTGACAGGTGGCTTACCTCTCCATTTTGGCCGGGTTAAATGAAACGACCTGCACATGAACACTGCACTGTCAGTGACAGTGTCATGTATTTGACATGATGACAAACTGTCTTGTCACACCCTTGATTACGATTATGAATGAACATAATGTGCACTTATGTCATGCTGCTGTCATTGCACTTGCCCTGCAAGGTGATGTGTGCCTTCAGCCGTTCATAATTTGTTATTTACACACAAGAAATAGCACGGGATGTCGGTAGCACTATTCACACACTGACAGCACCGCACCTGTCGCTGTAACGTGTAAAGCCCAAGTCGGCGTTGTGACGAATGACGCTAGGTCTCCGTTACATCGCGGAACCAATACAGCACGTGAACCTTTTTCCACACGGGTCCCGGACGTTCTTCTTCTTGTCTAGCACAGACGCACGGTCGACCTTATTTGGCATTCTTGTAAAGGGAGCTGGCCTGCCCGCACCAACACGTCAGTTACACATCGATCGATACCATTGCACGCGCCTCAACTTCATTCAACACAGGATCAGGCCTGAACCTTGTGTCTTACAAATCGATTGAGTTAACTTCAGATTCATTTGTTTAGGAAATGTTTGTTTATAGCTGATGAATGGTTTTATTATAGCTGATGTTTGCTTAGCTTAAGATTCATTTAAGGAATGGTTGTATAGTACCTGACGTGTTTTTGATTGATATATATATATATATAT